ATTTACGTTCTAAGATCACGAATCGGTACACCGACCTCGAGAAAACTTTTAAGGGCTTGATTAAAGCCAAAAAACGCGGTTACTGGCGTCGGTTCGTCGATGGTTTGTCGAGAGAGACTTCCATGAGAACACTCTGGAATGTCGGCAGGAGAATGCGCAACGCGTCATCACCGGTTAACGAAGACAAGGAGTACTCAGACAGTTGGATATTCAGCTTCGCGCAGAAAGTTTGCCTGGATTCGGTGTCGGTTCAAACCAACGTTCGTGATAGTCCGTCGGGTAGTAACGAAATAGATTCTCCGTTTTCGATGGTGGAATTCTCACTTGCTCTCCTCTCATGTAACAACTCAGCTCCAGGAATGGATAGAATCAAGTTCAACTTGCTTAAAAATCTCCCAGACGTCGCGAAGAGACGCTTGTTGAACTTATTCAATCAATTTATGGAGAACAACATTGTTCCGGATGACTGGAGGCAAGTAAGAGTTATCGCCATTCGAAAACCCGGTAAACCCGCATCGGATTATAACTCGTACCGTCCCATCGCGATGCTGTCCTGTATACGGAAATTGTTGGAGAAAATGATTCTTTTTCGTCTAGACAAATGGGTCGAGTCGAATGGTTTACTTTCAGATACGCAATTTGGATTTCGAAGAGGCAAAGGAACGAGCGACTGTCTTGCGTTGCTTTCAACTGAAATTCAACTGGCCTATGCGCAAAAACAGCAAATGGGTTTAGTTTTCTTGGACATTAAGGGGGCTTTTGATTCTGTTTGTATCGATGTCCTTTCGGATAAACTCCACGATAGTGGGCTTTCACCAATTATGAACAATTATTTGAGCAACTTGTTGTCTGAGAAATATATGAGCTTTTCTCATGCAAACTCGACAACTTCACGAATTAGTTACATGGGTCTCCCCCAGGGTTCATGTTTAAGCCCCCTTCTTTATAATTTCTATGTAAAAGACATTGATGGTTGTCTTGATGAAAATTGCTCGCTAAGGCAGCTTGCAGATGACGGGGTTGTGTCCGTTAAAGGGCCAAGTGCACCGGACCTGCAAGGACCATTGCAAGATACCTTAGACAATTTGTCTACTTGGGCTATGAAGCTGGGTATCGAATTCTCTCCGGAGAAAACTGAGTTGGTTGTTTTTTCTAGGAAGCATCATCCTGCACAGTTACAGCTTCAACTAAAGGGTAGAACAATCACTCAAAGTATATCTTTCAAGTATTTAGGTGTCTGGTTCGATTCCAAATGCACATGGGGAAAACATATTGCGTATCTAAAACAAAAATGCCAACAAAGAATCAATTTTCTTCGTACAATTACCGGAACTTGGTGGGGAGCACACCCGGAAGATCTTATCAGGTTGTATCGAACAACCATCCTGTCGGTTCTAGAGTACGGTAGCTTCTGCTTTCAATCCGCGGCGAAAACACATATATTGAAGCTGCAACGAGTTCAATACCGTTGCCTCCGAATCGCGCTTGGCTGTATGCACTCGACGCATACGATGAGCCTCGAAGTACTCGCGGGTGTTCTCCCACTGACAGATCGTTTCGCTGAGCTGTCTTTCCGGTTCCTCATCCATTGTGAAGTATTGAATCCTTTGGTTATAGAACACTTTGAGAAGCTGCTCGACCAAAATCCTCAAACAAGATTCCTGAGTTTGTACTATGAGTACATGACGCTGGAGGTTGGTCCTTCTTCATTAATCTCCAATCGTGATTGCTTTCAAGCCTTCTATAGTTCCTCTGTAAATTTTGATCTGACCATGATGCAAGAAATCCATGGAATACCAGATCACCATCGGTCGATGGTTGTTCCCTCAATTTTTGCAATCAAGTACCACCATGTAAGTAACGATAAAAGATTTTTCACAGATGGGTCAACCATAAATGCTTCCACTGGATTTGGTGTATTTAATCAATTTCATAGCGCCTCCTATAAACTGCAGAAACCATGCTCCGTATACGTTGCGGAACTCGCAGCTATATTTTACGCAGTAGAGCGAATTGCCTCACTACCTTCTGACCATTATTTCATTTTTACGAATAGTCTTAGCTCATTGGAGGCTATTCGTTCAATGAGGCCGATGAAGCACTCCTCGTATTTCCTGCCTGAAATACGAACTAAACTGAGTGCTTTATCTAACTGCTCCTATACTATCACCTTAGCTTGGGTCCCATCTCATTGCTCAATTCCGGGTAATGAGAAAGCGGACTCATTGGCTAAGGTGGGCGCTATGGAAGGCGATATTTTTGAGCGACAAATCGCCTTCAACGAATTTTTCTCCATTGCTCGCCAGCAAGTCCTCATCAGTTGGCAACACAAATGGAATGATGGTGAATTGGGATGATGGTTACATTCTATTCTCCCACAGGTGTCGAACAAACCATGGTTCAAAGGGTTGGACATGAGCCGCGACTTTATACGCGTTATATCAAGGCTTATGTCCAATCACTGCTCGTTAGACTCGCACTTCTATCGAATTGGGCTCTCAGGCAGCAATTTATGTGTGTGTGGCAGTGGTTATCACGATATCGAGCATGTTATTTCGTCGTGTACCTTACACCGTGTTGCCAGATCTGAGTTATCCACATCCCTCAGGGCCCGAGGAAAACAACCCGCGATACCCGTTAGAGATGTCTTGGCGAGTCGAGACCTTGACTATTTGAATTTAATTTATGTGTTTTTAAAACGGATAGATTTGAGGATTTAGAAGTTAGTGTCATCTTGTGTTCTCCCAAGTTGTTAGCTACCCATCGGTGTACCCCCATGTTTGTCTTTTTCATCAGAGTGTCGCCTAGTTCGAGATCAAGAGCACATTGCTCTCCAAACCTTGTGTTCACAATCCCTACCCTGCCATCCATTTGTTACAATTTGTTACCCCTAACCTCGAGATAGCCGCGAGTAATCGGCCCCCGCTTTACTAACGTTAGTTTTAAGTAATTTTGTTATCTAAACAATGAATATCGGCTCCGCAAAGCTACAGCAAATGAGCCTGGAAAAATAAACGAATTATTAAAAAAAAAAAAAAAGATCGCGAATAGCTTCCCAAGTAGCAATTAGGGTTTTATTAGGGTTCTGATGACCATGATTTAGACTTGTAGAACACTTTAAAACCATGATAAAACTTGAAATGTTACTTGGGTTATTTAGTTGTGGAGTAATCTCTTCTGAAAGATGAAATTTTTAAAAATCTCGTAAATCCAGGGTTGTAGCCGAGAGGGATCTAGGCACTTCAGAGCAAAATAAAAAAAGACGTTTTTTTCAGCGCCAAAATAAGCGTTGTGGCCAAGTTTGGCTCAAATCGGTGACATCGACCACAGGTGGTGTACCCACTTGAGCTGGAATGGCCCATATATGGAATAAAAATTTGAGTTCATTGACATAACGTTGTTTTTTTCCAATAATTAACTGTGCTTATACTTTCTGGGACACCGTATGGGAAAATTTAAAGGGAATTTCTGATGAATAAGGATAGCATAGCCGAAGTAACAATTTTGGATTTAGCATGCTGATCATGAATTATTGTTGAAGAATTCGTGAAATCCTTGACAGAACTAGCAATATTACTTCGGAGGTAACACAGAAAAGCAGCGGTCGTTCAAAAGAGTGCTTCTAAGATTTATAGGCTATTCAATACTTTAAGGATGTAATCAACCTTTATCACCCCATGACAAAAATATCATCCATCATACAACAATTCATCAGTACCTAAGCCCATATTAAAAAGATCACTTTAGCGGCGCCGGTGGTGAAGTGGTAAGCTTGATTACCTCTCACCCCAGCAGGCCTGGGTTCAATCCCAGTCGGTGCCGCCGGGATGTTCTGAGGTATAACATCTCTGCTCACGCCTTCCTTCGGAAGGGAAGTAAAACCGTTGGTCCCCGGTTCATGAGTTGATGGATCGATAGGTAGGGTCCAGGTGTGGGAGCTGCCTCCCTGGCGTCGGTAAACAAGATCGATGGAAAACAAACCAAAGGACAAAAAAGATCACTCAATCCGACACCACCAACAACGAAAACCGATGTGATCACCAGATATGACCATCACTCCGTGAGACCCGTGGGAAGCTTGCACTAACGAGAATGCAACGGCAACGTGATCGATTTATTATAATCTTGTCTTGGCAGTCAGTTGTCACCCGCTGCTGGGTCGTGTGAGTGTGAAGAAAATTAAGTCACCGCGGAGCCTTATGGCAATCGACGATGACGACGACGACGACGAAAGGGGCGTGCAGGTTGCGGTGTGCAATTTATTCAATTCATTCACTTGATTGGCCATAAATGCTGTCTCGGTCAGTGCATTCCGTGGCCAGTTCTCGATGTAATGCTGGTTCTTACTGCCGCTGCTGGCTGTTTGGCGATCTAGATGGGGTGATTAATGGAAAGACTTTAAGTCACACCTAAACTTTAAATGAATTTCAACTTTGCGAAACCACGCTCTTCGAACATAAATGTTTCAATATTATGCTAGCACTGCAAACAGTAGCTCAAAACTTCTACAGCTTCTATGCTTCCGATTAACAGTTACCTCTCCCCAAGATGCAGCAGCAGTGGGGTGCTCTTCCGGTACGATAGTTTCTCGTTCGGTCGTTTGATGACATTATCGTTTGCGCGTCGTGTGCATGAGAAATTGCGTCAGGAAGAAAACGTAAATTAACATCTTAATTAAAAAACTTTTCCCTCGGCGATGGTGGCGGGACTCAGACCAGCCGAAGTATGGGACACGCCTCGGAACAGACCACTTAAAAAGTGTTCCATCTTTTGCTTCAAGCAGCGCCCCGCTTGAGTAGAGCAGCACCGAGGAAACTTTATAACTTGCCGTTTGTTTTATCTTATAATTCATTTAGATTTTCTCGCTTGTTCAATTATGCTCATTATTTAATTTCATTCGCCATTCATTAAGCTAGATTAGATCGAACACCCACCGGGTCCGGCTTTTGTGCAGGCATCAATTGATAACTTTGTGTCTCTCATTCTCTTTCCCATCGCAGGTGTTGGAGTGATTCTGGTGACCGTGAGCGGAGCTGCCTGGCGAATGACGGCTCCCGGAGCGCCACCGTGTCTTGGGCTGGGATCCACCGTGGACCTGGGGCGATGTTCGCGACGGCCCTGTGGGCGGGGTGGCAGCACACCCCACGGGCTGCTGTATCCGGAGTTCCAGCATCGGCCACCACCGCCATCCTACCAGGCTAGCATGCAGGAGTACAGATTAAGGTGAGTTGCTTCGAACATGTTTTACTGCGCTTGGGAAAAGAAATGATGCTACTTGGGCTATGGATTTTTTTAAAGATTGGAATCAGGGTTGTTAATAGATAACCGTTGTTATCGACGGTTATTGATTAACAAGCCTGATTGGAATAACTATTTACATTATTCAAAGCTTAATCATGTGGCATTAGAAAGTAGGGTTTTCATAACATTTATGTCGTTACTGATGCAAATATCGGCATCTCATGCATATGGGTCATGCCGCGCCAAGCGGTCACAAAAAATTGCAAAAGTGAAATTGACCTCTTCCGATTTGGACCAAATTTGGAGGGAATGTTCATTTAAGTTCGAATTCTAAAAATTCCAAGTTGTATGCTGATCGAAGCACCCCTCGATCAAGGGGCACATTTTTAATTTTTCATTATTTTTTTAGAAACCACTACTTTCTTTTGTTCATATCTCCGGAACGAATAAAATTACAAATTGCATTAGGTATTGTTTTAATAAGGAAATAAGACAAGAAATCTAAATCTGTAACTTGTGTTTCTGTAAAGTGTTGCCAAATATTTTTTATTTTTGTTTGAAAACTTTAAATGCAGTTTTCTCATAATACGTGTCATTTAATTTTCATTCTAAGGACACCATCGTGTTCTTCTTCTTTTTTTTTACATAAGAAACACTTAACGACAAAAAGTAATTTGCGTAGTTCCTGAGATATTGCATTTTGAATGAACGAAAGTCATAAATTATTAGGGATATTTTTGTAACGTTTCCTCGTAATAAGATTAATTCTCATGACTTACTGTGTTAAATAATACTTGATAGAAACAAAATAGGTATGATAAAACCAACAATAGTGTTGACAAATTTAAATATTATTTGGTGGCTGAAAACTTTACACTAGCAATAATTTAAACGAGACATTCCAAAACATAAAATATTGCATCAAACACTGATCGTTTTGCTTCTTTCATTTTATTATAACAATGTTAATCATAAATTACAATTGACTTATTTTTCTTCTCAAGGCTAGCACTTCGTGATGATTTCTTCCTATTATTATTCGAATCCACTTGCTTTGCACGTTTCGTTGCCACAACTCTAAAAGCTGAACCAGTTTTGGCACCAGAAACAGTTTTCGTAATAATGGTATCAATACCAGAAGGAGCTGCTGCATGTATTGAACGAATACCGGGAATAGATGCAGCTGATGAAAAACGGTGGAACAGTATTTGTTTTTCTTCGGAACAGATCTCAGATGACACAAATGTAACGTTTGTATTGCAATTTTTCATTGCCCAGTCATAGAGCTCCTTTGGCGTGTGAATAGTGGCTTCTTGTAAACTAGCTCGCGTTGCCAATCTCTTCAAAGTTCATCCCAATCCGTCGCTTGGTCCTTTGCCATGTGCCGTAACAAAGTAGTGCCACTCAGTGGGCACCCCAAATTTGCTTTCGTTGAAAACCAGGGTACCACCATCGGAGAAGTACGAGATTTTGGACAACTGTGATACCTAGGATTTGAGATACTCTATTAAATGACGCTGGAAAGCATGAAATGTTGTTGTGCTGTGCTCTAGAGTATCGGACATTATGACGCAGTTCAATGGTACAACTTTATTCTGGTGTACAGTGTAGGCAGCAAAAGTGTGAACGGTTGCCAGCAAATTATTATAATGAATTTCCTGTACACTTAAAAACACAAAAGAATAGTTTTCAGAGAAATCTGCCACTACAACGACTTCACCTTTACGTAAGCTATGACGAGTGAATTTGAAAAACTCGGATTGTTTCGCTACAATATAGACGTGCTTTCGGACGGCTGGGATTGAAATGAATAATTCAAGATGAATGTTACCTGCAGATGGCTAGTGATTATCCATGTTTTTTTAACCGCCAGATGACATTGCACGCATACTTTCCGACCTTCGATAATTTTTTGGCAAAGTTCTTATTGTACTCGTCATGAAACCGTGCAGAAATTGGTTTCAAACTCTTGCGACGAATAACTGTATGCAGATTCAATGGGTTGCAGCACTGTCGTTGCATTATCGCATACAGGTCTCCATATTGCTTAGCATGGCCATCACAAACACTTTTCAGTTCCGTAACACCAGAACGAAGCTTGTAATTGTGTTCCACTGTTCGGGACCTAACACCACTGCGACCAGTAATTTGATCTATTGTAGTATTTCTCGTGTCCTTAGTTTAGTGCATGTCGCATTACTCCATCACTATTGAGAAATGATGAAGTATTCGATTTTTTTACAGTTATCATTCTTGCAGTTATCTCAAGGATCCGACTCTTATTGAAAGGTCCCGCTATTTATACCCTCCGGAATATTGAAACACCCTCCAAAGGCATGCCCCTTTGTCAGTCAAAATTGGATTCCTTAGCAACAAAACTAAGGAATGACACCGATATTGACCATGCATCAGAACCCTAGTCTTAAGCACTTCAAATTAGGGAACAACGAATAGAAGATTAGGAAAGACATAGATGAAGACTAACTAACTCATTTTTTCCTTGTTTCAAGATCATCCTCGGTGGACAAAGCCAAGTTTTGTCACTATCAACAAGGCATAAAAAGTAACAAGGACTAAGATGTGTTCCTTTGATTACTAAAAAATCCTGTTCCCCTTGTTTGAAGTAGTCAGGACTAGGAATCGGTGGTAGATCTTACATCCCTTAACGTACCACAAAAAGGTGATCTACCCACTTTACGGGGGGTAATTGTGTTTCTTGTGTGTTTTAGGGTGTCGGAAGGTGTTTATGGGTGTTTCTGCATGTAGACCTAGCTGTCAAAACGTTTATTGAAAATTAATGCTGGTTAGCATTACATCCACTTTTGTTTATAATCAGAATTCTTTTTTTTTTTTGCTCTCCAAAAATTTACCAATTTAATCATGCACAGTGAAAGCACGGAAGTCCAGAAATAATGCACACGTCTATTTAAAAAACTTACAGGAATTCAAATTCGCATCCCTGATCGTCATCCGCAACACCTATCTAAAAGAATGTGCTGTGTATGTATGTCTGGAGTTCCACTCCGATCTCAAAAAGTACTCCCTCAGCCGACGCATTCTCATGTCATGATGCATTCTGGCTCAAACCAGTAAAGTCCTCTCGAATCTATCCCAACCGAATTCCAGTCGCAATCAAGCCCAAATCACCAAACCGAGCACGCCCCTTTCTAAGCAATCTCTGGATCTAAATTTCGCAAAAAAAAACGAACCTATTTGTAAGCGGCAGCTAGTAGGATGGATCTTTCTGATTTGGTATTGTGTATATGAAATCCACGAAAGGGCATCAAACACATTAGAAAGAAATATCTGTCTTCAGCTATCGATCAATAATTGATATGATAATTATTATCCGCTTCATTCATATACAGTTACAGATATTCTAGCTTGTTAGAGGTTGAAATTGTCTGTTTTTTTTTTTCAATGTTGAGCTTGATGATGAATCTTCTTTGCGGGGGTGAGGGCTACGTTGGTGTCCCGATCAGTTTTTTTTTTTTTGTGGAATCCTACTGATTTCTGGAGGTCCCCCCTTCAGAAAAAAAATCAACAAAAACACAAAAGAGCATCAAATGAATGGCAGTGCTGTCAGAAAAGATTGAAAAATTGGTTGTCATGGTGGTTGAAGGGTGTTTGAGTGTGTCGAAGAGTGTTTTTGATGTGTTTAACACAAGGTGGCAAAGTGGCTTACCCCCTGAATAGAACACACCATTTTCCACTCGGTATCTGCAAACTTCTAATGAACTAGACAGATGCGCCAGAGATGCTTTAAACATAGACGCCTAATATATGAAAAAAAAAATCAAAAATGTCATATTTTATACGTTAATAGATGACATTTTCAAAGACATCTATTTGGTCTCGAAATTCTGGATCGTATGCAAAACATGAGCAAATTACAGTTTTGTCTTGTTTTATGGCTGACCATAAATAGTTATTTTGGCGTTCTTGTACCAAAAATATAGATTAAGGTCCGTTGTGCACTTACATTCTGAAAACTTTAAAAATAATAAGTTTTGATATTAATTCCATTGCTTTAGAAAATGCATCAGAAAAAATAAAAACACTTTTCTTTAATTTGTTTTCCTAAAATGTTACATTGTGTTGAACTTTGTTTTAGATAGTCTATCTTATGTAACAATGCTGTGGGACACGATGGTGCAATCCAACCAAATATTTAGATGCATCAACTTATAAAAATCACGTTTAAAGTTTTTGGTCGCTATATAATATTTAAAGTTGGCAACACTGTTCTTGGTAATATAATCGTTTTTTTTTCTTCAAATATTATTTCACACAAAAAGTCATGAGAATGAATCCACTTCATAAGAGGAAATGGAAAAAAAAGTTTTACCCTCATAATTCATGACTTTCGTTCATTCAAAATGCAACACTCAGGATGTACGCAAATTAATTTTTGTCGTGAAGTGTTTCTTATGTAAAAAAGGGAGAAGAACACGATGGTGTCCTTAAAATGAAAATTAAACGACACGTATTATGAGAAAAATGCATTTAAAGTTTTCAAAGAAAAATAAAAAATATTTGGCAACTTTGTACAGAAATAATAGTTACAGATTTAGATTTCTTGTCTAATTTCCTTATTAAAACAATACCTAATGCAATTTGTAGGTTTATTTGTTCCGGAGATATGAACAAAAGAAGGTAGTGCTTTCCAAACTATCACGAAAAATGAAAAATGCGCCCCTTGACCGAGGGGTGCTCCGATTAGCATAAAAGTTTGGATTTTTTAAATTTGAACTTAAATGAACATTCCCTTTAAATTTGGTCCAAATCGGAAGAGGTCAATTTCATGTGCTGTGTACACTTGGCGCGGAATGACCCATATGCATCAGAGAGAAAACTGGAGAGAGAACAAAGAGAAGTGTATGCGCTCTTGTCTATACCCATCATTACATACAGAGCAGCCATATGTAGACTAAAAGAATATTAATAAAATAGATTAGCGAAAATTTGAAACAAGCACAGCT